AGACGGAGGCAGTGCTGAGTTTTGCACCTGAGGCACACTTAAGCTTGAGGGAGACATATTTCTGGATGAGGTATACCAAGTAATATTATTATCTGGGAAAGGAAAAAGTTCAAGCAGTCATACACCTAAAGAATAATCGCGACTTAAGAAAGCAACAGTTTGAGAGCTAGACTTGGTTTTCAAACTTAGCTTAAAAGTATTTTTAATATCCTTTAAGGTTAAAAAGGGGGTTATTCAAAATACCTTCGAGCCAAGTTTGAGAGCCATGATTGTTCAAATTACAGAAAGATGAGGGAAGGGCTATATAATTAGCATACCAATCTTTATTAAGAAAGCTTTATTGAAGCTTTCATCATCTGTGGCAATACCACTTCAATAGAGAAATCTGCATCTGATTAAATAATTATGCTACCATTCCAATTCATATGTCAATGTGCTGCTTCTTCCAGTTATGTGCTTTTCCATACTGTAATACTTTAGCATGATACATGGAAAATATTAAATTTACTACTGGTTATTAAATGAAAATATATGAAAATTTGTAACGGGTCTGCCAAGTCTGGATTTACAGCAGTGAATTATAAGCCACCATATCATTCTGCATTCACATTTGAAATGTTACATATTTTATCCACAGATGTCCAGAGTTTACGAATGGATAAAATATGTGAATGCTATTAAGTCTCTTGCATTAAACCCAGGACCTATATGGTGCTTTGGATTCAATTCCAAAAGGGTATTTTGGAGTTTTAAGATTTAAAATCTTCCCCTGTCCAGTTCTGACTGACTCAGGGGGACAGTGCTTATCTCTGATTTTCAGCCGAGGGAACCTGCATTGATGAAAGATGTTTCCATCATCATGCAGCCAACATGAAAATACAGAATGTGGTAACCTACCCATTGAAGCATAGCTATTTATTATTTGGATTCACATGCTTTCATGTTGGCAGGAGCTGGGGTGAGTATCGAGAGCTCACATTTTTGTGAAGCACTTGGGTCTCAAACCCGTGCTGTGGTCTTTCCAGCTGACAAGCTCAGCATCATAACCAATGAGCCATTGCCCCCTCTCATTTTGGAATACATGTTGGCTTTAACATAAATCAGTCAGCAATTTCAAGTAGCTCATGGTTTCTCCCAGAATTATTTGTTTGATCCCCACATTTTCTTCCGCAACTGAATACACAATACTGCCTACTGGCAACTATGCGGAGGAGAGCCTTCTCAGTTGCAGCTCCGACGCTTTGCAACGATCTCCCCGTGGAGATTCGTACCCTCACCACCGTCCAGAGCTTCCGCACAGCCCTNAAACAAATGGAGTTGAGTGGTTTCTTTCCTGATTATTAAATGAAGCAGCATCTGACAGTATAAGTATGTATAAGTAAAAAAATAGTTATCTGCTCAAAGATTTCTGTTCTAGAAACCAATCTACTAAATATGGAGGAGCACTTACCAAAATTACATAATGTTTTTGCATATAAACTGTATAAAGAAAATTATGGGAATTTCAGAAATGTTCTATATCTTCAATATTATCAAATATAAGAGCTGCAATTCTTGATATAGTTTAATGATCGAACTTATATAGTACATGATTTGGATGTGCTTATTGCTATAATAATACTAACCTCCCAGAATGGTTGCTGGTTATTAAATGTTTGAACCTATTTCCTCAGTTGCACTTGTTTTATGGCAGGGACTTTGGACCAGCTATCTATTATGTTTCTATCAGGAAGTGAAATGTAGCTGATTACTGTCAAGGCCCATTATTTAAAAGTGCTAATTATGCACAAAAACCTAAAAAGAAATACTGTGATCAACTTCACCTGAAGTAGATTTGAATTATCATTTCTATCGCTATGAGCAGAACAAGGAGTGTTCATATAGTAGATTCTGGGAATCTGCCACTGTGAATCTGAACAAATTATATATGTAGTTATATTTTATAACATTCAACTGCTGCAGTATATTACACTGTTTACACAGATTTAGCTGTATATTTGAAAAATGTTTTGTAATCCCCCCCAAAAGTCCTATGTAGATCCAGTCTTCCAATATTCAATATTATTTCAAATCATATATATCATCTATTTATAAAACTCTTGAATCTTTCTCTCTTTCTCTGCCTGACCTCTTCTTAGATGCCAGATGGAAACGTGAACACTGCGGGGAGGGGAGACAACTCTTATACATCATCCCACTTGCTCAGCCTTTCTTTGGCTATCCATTATTATATATATATCTATCTATATATAATCATTTATATACTGCTGCTAAAACTGCTGTTGGAAGAAATGTGCTTTTGGGTTCAGTTCCAAGTGGGGAAAAAGACACTAGAAACATGGAGACTGCTGGAAAAGATGTTTTAATGGTGGACAGGACCACATGGCTTGAGGTCCTGGGCAAAAAGCACATGGGTGAGAGAAAGAGAGAGATGTATACCCTCTGTTGGGCCCCACATAAGAGCTTTCTGTTTCTGTGTAAGAAATATATCCCATTGGCTGTCAGACTCTCAGGGGGTGGGGGGTCTTAGCCAACTTTGTAGGCTGTCTGTGTCCCAGGCTTGGTTGAGCCTTGCTGGATGAGGTAATCTTCCCAGGTGCCATGTAGTGAGATGGGTAGAGGACATCCTATGATGTCCTGAGGGCCATGTCTTAATCCCATCACCCTGGAGCTACCGTGGGGGGGGGAGCGTTGACTTTAAAACATGTTTCTCCTTTTCTCATCTAGGGAAACATAATATTCTGCCTTTTTAATATTTCCTAGAATATTTCATTTTTCTAGGATGTGGGTGGGTGCTAACTTCCTACACTGCCATATCTATAATTTTTTAACTGGGCTCCAGAGGGTGCACCATTGGACAAAATATTTTGAACCGAGATAACTCAAATGGCTAACTTACAGAATACATCCAAAAAAACTCTCATAGAACTTAAATTTGGCATTTTCATTAAACATAAGAAAGTAGTTTATGACATAATATAGTGCTGATGTTTGACTGTTACTCAATTCAAATAGGTTATTTTCAAGGCAAACATTTATCAGAATGTCTCCCAACTTTTCCAGTGAATGCAGTGCATCAACTTATGGCCACAGAAATCCAAAATTTCCATTGCTAAGCAAGACAGTTGTTAAGTAAGTTTTGTCCCATTTTATGACCTGTCTTATTGCAGTTCTTAAGTTAATAACATAGTTGTTAAGCGAACTTGGCTTCCCCATTGACTTTGCTTGTTAGAAGGTCGCAAAAGGTGATCACATGACCCTGGGACTCTGCATCTGTCTAAATACATGCCAGTTGCCAAACTTCCAAATTTTGATCATGTGACAAAGGAGATGCTGCAATGGTATGTGAAAAACATTCATACATTTTTCAATGTTACAATGGCTGTAAATTGAAGACTACCTATAGAGATTCTGTCATTGGCATTGAGGAATCTGTAAGGAAGTATCTCTGAAACAATGACCCAACAGGAAGTGGTTAATCTAATCCATACACTACTAAGATTTTCTTTCCTGTAACTTTTAACTGGACAAAATAGTACATCATAGATCAATAATTTTTGCACCAGGGTACCTCAAATAGAGTGGACACAGTGGCTCAGTGGTTAAAATGCTGAGCATGTCGATCAGAAAGCTTGGCAATTCGGTGGTTTGGATCCCTAGTGCCGCGTAACGGAGTGAGCTCCTGTTACTTGTCCCAGCTTCTGTCAACCTAGCAGGTCAAAAGCACATTAAAAATTCAAGTAGAAAAATAGGAACCACCTTTGGTTGGAAAGTAACAATGTTCCATGTGCCTTTGGCGTTTAGTCATGCCGGCCACATGACCACGGAGACATCTTTGGACAGCGCTGGCTCTTTGGCTTTGAAACAGAGGAGAGCACTGCCCCCTAGAGTCGGGAATGACTAGCACATACGTATGTGCAAGGGGAACTTTTACCTTTACCTCAAATAGACTAATTTACAGAATGTATTCAAAATCTTAGTTTGGATTTTGGATCATGATTCCTATTTTTAATGTAAATGGCAAAAGTGTACATGCAATATGCAGTTCTTAACTCAATCCTTCAAAACCAATACAAAGGATTTGTGATTGATTTTACAAAACCAGGAGTTATTTACCAAGTTAACCACAAATAAATTGTAGAGGATTCAGAAGTGACTACTGTAATCAAAATCACAGATTAGTCATGTGTACAAATCATGTACAAGTCAAATCCCTATTTGCACATAATACAGTTCACTGGAATAATTTCTGAGCTCATTAACTTTATTATTGTGAAGGTAATTGTTGAATGACACCAAAATGAGATGTTTATAATTGCTGTGGAAAACTAGCCTTTTCTGTTTCCCATTAATGTAAAAAGCAAATTAACATGCCATTTATAGGTTTGTTTTAATTATGTTTTTAAAGAAAGTTCGGGTAGTTAATTTTTAAAATGGCTATGATTATTGCTGTAGAGATAATACAGCTTTTTTCTCATAGACAACATTTCTTATTTTAAACCCAAGTAATTAAATGCTTTCTAGTTTTTCCCCCAATACACTTAAAAGAGAATATGAAAAATATTAGAAAAACAATCTTACTTACCTAACATTTTAACAGCGTTCCTAAAATACATTTAGTTTTAAAAATTAATAAAAGAAAGTACATATTGTCATATATTCATGAGATGTTAAGAATGTGTCTGTATCTGTATATATGGTTAGAAGTCTTCTTAACACACTTTAATCGTGTGAAAGTCGTAAGAATGAACATTTCTTAATAACTCTAGGATATGTGAATAAATACATTATCTATTGAAACCAAAATATTTTGCGGCAGGGTAACCATTCAACAAAGTTTGAATTTTAGACTCTTATTGTATATCTATGATGAGCAGCTGACAAATATAGGGCAAGAGGTTGCATATTGGGGCATAAGAGTGATTTGTACTACGTCAGGCAACCCACTCCATTGACTGAACAAGTATTCGGAAAGTTGCACAATGGAGTACTGTCTTCATCCCACCATAGCTATTCTTCAACTTATAGCCATTAGTTTAGTGGCTGTTGAAAGTTACAAAAGCATGAAAAAAGTGACTTACAATGGGTCCTTGCACTTACAACTATTACAGCATCCCCAGGGTCATGTGATCAAAATTCAAATACTTGGCAACATTCAAGCACATGTATTATATGGTTGCAATGTCCTGGGATTGTGTGATTGCCATTTGTGACCTTTCTGGATATGGAGGGTTGATGGGGAAAGCCAGATTCACTTAACAACTGCATAATTCACGTAACAATGCAGCGGGAAAAAGGATAACAAAATCTGGTGCTGCTTACTTAACTGGATTAGTAATGGAAATTCTGGTCCTAATTATGGTTGTAAATTGAAGACTACCTTGATAGCATATGACTACCCATATCAGCTGACTGATGCTGGATGCAGTAAGAGGAATAGTTCACTTTCTCCATTTATGCAATGCAGTAGATTTACTTTTATACTATAGAGCAGTGTTTCTCAACTTGGCCACTTGAAGATGTCTGGACTTCAACTCCCAGAATTCCCCAGCCAGCATTCGCTGGCTGGGGAATTCTGAGAGTTGAAGTCCAGACATCTNATTGTTGTTGGGGGCGATATGCTGACTCTGTAAACCGCTTAGAGAGGGCTGAAAGCCCTATGAAGCGGTATATAAGTCTAACTGCTATTGCTAAAGAGAGAAGCAACCTAGAATTAAGGAGAAACTTCCTAACAATGAGGACAATGAACCAGTGGAACAGCTTGCCTACAGAAACCGTGGATGCTCCATCACTGGGGGGTTTTAAGAAGAGACTGGACAGTCACTTGTCTGAAATGGCATAGGGTCTCCTGCTTGAGCAGGGGGGGGCTGGATTAAAAGACCTCCAAGGTCCCTTCCTCCAGCTCATTCGTTCTACTCTATGTCTCAAAACAGAGAGAATCGATCTGGAGGGGGGAACCATTTGGAGACCGGGCAAACTGGAACAACCAGATCTAAAAAAAAATTATGCGACGTCGGTCATCGTCCCAGGCGATTAAGGTTTATCACCCACAGAACACGCCGTGGAGGGCAGGAGGGCAGTTTCGGAGGTGTATGACTGCCGCGGCTTATCAAAATCTCCCCCCCCCGCCTCCTCCTCCCCCTCCCCGGACCGGCAAGTTCGCAAGGCAGAATGCGCGCGCACGCTCCCACCTTGGGGAGGGGGGATTCTCCACCGCCTACCTCCAAATGTCCCCCCCGCCCGACGCGCGCACCCTTTGCCGGTTTTTTTTTTTTTTTGCGTCCGGAAGTAAATGGGGGGGGGGAAGCTGCTTTAAACGGAGAGGATATAACAGCCCCGCAGGGTTTATTAACAACTTATTCAGACGCGGGAAGCAGGCTGCGGTCCGCACGTGGGTTTCCTCCCCCTCTTCCCCCTCCCCATTTTTTCCACTCCAACGCGAATCCTCTCTCTCTCTCTCTCTGCAATACGACTACCCGTTTTCCCAGCCTGCACCAACCCACCAGTCATGCTTTCTCCTCGGCATGCAACGGCAGCCGGCGCGCGCCGCCTCCCCCCCCCCAGCTCCGCTCTCCTGACGCAAGCGCGTCCCCGGTTCTTCCCACCACTACCGCGGTGTGCAGTGCTCCAAGCCCAGACCTGCTCCAGGAGAACCGGGAGGGTGGGACATTCCACCGCCGCCTCTCTCGGGGTTGGGCGGCAGCTGCCCGTCCTTTAGTGGACATGCCTCTCGGCACTTCCCACCTGCTGCACAGAAGGGGCGGGGCGACGGGGCTGCCTCCGGACAACCCAGCCGAGCTTCGGGTTCCCAACGGCAGCTGCTCGCTCCGCTTCCGCCGCTGCTGCTCCCANTCCAATCCTTTCTAATTTTGTCATTCTGTGGCTTATTTTGTAATTCTATTTCTAAATTTTTAATTTCCTCCTCTAATATCTTCCGTCGTGCCAATTTCTTTGTTTCTTTTTGCTGAATACACTATAATAATTATGTGGGAATAAGCTTTCATGGTGTCCCATAGATTTTGTATAGATGTCTGTTCTTTTGTGTTTTCCTTAAGGAATAACTCCAATTCATACATTTTTATTTTTATTTTTAATATTTGCAAATTTAACATCCATCTTCGTCTAGTTTTTTTTCCTTCCCAAATTATTTTAATGGTTGTGATCCGCCCACGTATTTGGTAATATTTCAATTGTGTTAATGACAATCACATGGCCCTAGGATGCTGCAACCATTATAAATACTTGCTGGTTGCTAAGCACCCACATTATGATCATGAGACTATAGGGAAAACATGACAGTCTGAAGTGTGAGGATTGGTCACACATCCCTTTTTTCAGTGCCATGGCAATTCAAATAAATGGCTGTAAGTTGAGGACTACCTGTAATAACAGTTCTCCGACACTGCAAAAAGTTCACAGGCAAGTATTTTTCTAGAATCTTTCTAGAAATCTAATTTAAAACATTCAGCTGAGCTCCAGTTTTTAACTGTTGAACATTTTCAGGGACAACTAAATACCCTGGTCTAATTTCTATGTGAAAAAGTTTGAATTGCACATATTAAAAAAAAGATCAAAGATGACATAGCACTTATGTTCGAATATTTCTTCACAAATTTGATGTGTTAATACCTTTAGCAAATAAGAGCATCTTCACCTATTTAAAAAAAGGGTATCACAACATAGAATGTTACCTTTAATTTAATGTAGCAGTTTTGCAGATGGTCCATATCGCTGCCCATTTTCAAATGTTGGGTTTCTGTTTCTTCCTGAGCACGTAGAGTTTTACGCTGCATCAGCAGTAGCTCATTCATACAGTTTAAGACAGAAACTATGCTTACTTCTTTGCCTCTGGAATCAGCATAAAGTGATGGGAAGCCAAGCGTGGTCAGTTCCTATCACAACAGATAAGAGTATTTTTTTTAATCAATCTTGGACGGTGGTGAAATCTGAACCATATTACCAATTTCTAGGACTGAGGCTGAAAGGGTGGGTATTCCTCAGGAGAGCCTCTTGGTAATAAAATATGTTTTACCTTGTTAAGATAGGAGAGGCTCTGTTCAATATTCTCTTCTGTGCAGAGGACGCTGAAAAAGCTGTGCATGTTTTTAGACGGAGGCAGTGCTGAGTTTTGCACCTGAGGCACACTTAAGCTTGAGGGAGACATATTTCTGGATGAGGTATACCAAGTAATATTATTATCTGNAAAATTTATGTTGCTAAGTGAGATATTTTTAAGTGAATTTTGCTCCATTTACAATCTTTCTTGACACAGTTGTTAAGCTAATCACTGCAGTGGTTAAGTTAGTAACCCAATTGCTAAATGAATCTGGCTTCCACATTGACTATGCTTGTCAGAAGGTCCCAAAAGGTGATCACACATGAGCCTGGGGTGTAGGAACTGCCACAAACATGAACCAATTACCTAGCATCCAAATTTTGATTACATGACCATGGGGATGCTGCAAGGGTTGTGTGAAAAACGGTTGTAAGTCACTTTTTTCAGTGACATTGTAACTTCGAACAGTCACTAAATGAACTAAGTCAAGGAATACCTGTAAGAGTTTCACAAAATTTAGCAACGCATCATTTTGTTTTAATCATGTGCTACATACAGACTTACAGGCCCAGTGTTATCTTCAATCTTCTCTTTAGGCATCTGCTTCTGTGATGGAAGCAAAGAAATTATCTCCTTCTTCATTTGTTGAAGTAATTTTTTTAGTTCAGCATTTTCAACTAGGAGCTGTTTCTGCCGCTGTTCATACTCATTTAAGAGAGTTTTGAACATTTCTTCTTCATTTCTGAAAAAAAACACCTCTTAATTTAATATGAAATACAGTAGCAAGCAAAAAAGAAAATTTTACTGGCCAACTCACTTAGCTTCAGTTTTCCCAGTTCTCCAGGCACCTCTTTTGCCATCAATTCTTCCAACATAATTTAAAATATCAATAGCTATAAAAAGGAAAAGAATTTTAAAAAGCAATGTCTTAAAGATCTTTAATAAAAATTGACTTGGCACTTGTCATCTGAGCTGATTGACCTGTCACCTGAGCTGATTGACTACTATATTTCAAAATTTGTAACCCAAAATTAAACCAAAATCACATCTCCTCTATATATACTTTCATTTCTTGTCTTCTCAGAACCTTTCTATTTCATAGATGATTTTTTTTTACTTTAAACTAAACCAATGTATTTTCATTTAGAAAAATACTTCTACACACAGTGATATTATGTGTAATAGATCGCCAAATAAGTAAATGTAAAAAGCCAGATTTATTTTGTTTCAGATGGATTAGGTTTGGAATCAAGCTAACGCACAGCATCTAAGATGAACAGTACTATAGGATCTATTCTAGTTTGGAGTTTATCATACATTTTGTTCTAGATATGTATTTGTCCTTAATAAGTAACTTCCTTGGTATACATTCCCGAAAGAAGTTTCCCAACTTTTATTGGGAATTTACCTACTCTGTGTATTTACCTACTCTTTCCATGTTTCTAACAGATCACTCAATGTCGCATTAAAATATGAAGCAGAAGCAAACTGCTGTATCACCATTTTTACCATAATAAAGTTATACCTATTTTTTTATCCTTTTTACTCATCAGAAGTTGATGAAGCCGCTCTTTTAATTTGTTATATTCTCGTTCTTTCCTCTTCATATCATGATTATACTGGGATGCTCGACTTGCCACAATATTCTGTAGCTTCTGAATCTAGAATGCAAACATTTAAAGAAATGTGCATGTTTTAGAAATCCCAGGCTATTTACATTGATTTATATCAGAGGTCTAGCCATAAATGAATATCCACTAAGAGATAGTAATAATTCTTTAAAAGTGTCATCAAGACAGGATTGGTTCAGTAATTTCTTCAGGTCAGGAAGTCATTTGCAATTATCTGGAATGCCTTCATTCTCATACTCTTACAAGGCTAAGTAAAGGATTTTTCTGTTCTTGATTCTCTGATCTGTTGGTCCTGCTCTTTCCCCAAAAATAAAGATACATTAGTCACATTTCCTCTTGTTAATTAAGCTCCTAAAGAACAGCTATATAAAATTAAACAGGTACAGATTTTGCTAAAGGAAGTCGAGCTAGGTAAGTCTGAGAACCATACAAACCACACTTGAATTATTTTTATCTATATGTTTGGTGTTGTCTTTCTGAACTTTCAAATAGATATCAGACACATTATTTCACATAATTCATTAGAGGCTAAATGTCATGGATTTTTTTCTTATCTTCTTGGCCAAATTGAAATGACAGTTTCTTATGGTGTAAAATCCCCCGAAAAGATGCTTTGCAAAACTCTGTAAAGGGAACAAAGCATTTCACTTCAATTGTTGGAATTGCCTTGCTTTCTAAAATCAGAGTGTTTCTGAAACATCTTTGAGTTGCAGAAGACATTGCTGCTTCTCCATTTAAAAGAATAGCTTTTCATTTATATGGCCTGAGTATCAAAGAATACAGAGAATATGAAACTGCAGGACAAAATAATGTAATGTAAAAATGTAATCACAACTGAACTGCAATAATCCCATGAGATTGACATAGTTCTAAAACGAATAACTAGGAATGTTTACAAAACCCACCCAAGTCCATCAACAAGTTCAGTGATTTTGCCACAGGCATACAAGGTTAACTAACCTCATCTTTTTCATTCTTCAGTAACTGGTGAAGATTCCTGTTCTTACATTGAAGTTGCCTATCCCTTTCCTGAAGTCCAACAATTTCTCTTCTAGAGGATTCCAGCTGCTCCTAGTAAAAAGCAAAACAATTTAAATGTTTAAAATTTACTACAGGTACATGAGAAATATCTTAAGATTTTAAACCAACAGGAAACAAAGGACTTTCTTTTTTTTTTAAAAAAAAAAAGATATTTGAGGAAAATTGAATTATAATGTGTACTACATATAGAGTCAATGTATTACTTTATAAAATGCCTTATGCATAGAGGTAATCCTCTACTTATGACTGGTCACTTTCACAGTTATGATAGACCCATCCAAAAGGCACCCAACTTCCAAGTAGAACTACAAGTTGCTCATATTTTCTCTTTTGAAAAAACAAGGAGCAAGCAAAAACACAATACTAATCAACAGTGTGTTCAAAGAAAGAAAATCAAATAATCTGGCATTTGTTTTCAACTCCTAAGGTGAAAGAAAAGCAATGCACATTCTGCCTCATGAAACTTTCCTCCTGTTTCTAGATCTGTGTTGCTATCACAACTAGCAATGTCTACTACCTCTAATCTTTTTTTAACAAATAATTCCATGGAATTTTGAAAATTAAGGGTTTGACAATAATGAGAGAAACATCTTGACCCTTTCACCTGTTCACAATTTCTCTGCCTCCAATTAACCTTAGGGATGCATTTCTAATTGGCTGAAATTACATTGTAATTAAGCTACCTCATTTAGAGTCAATCTTTGGCAATTAATAAATCAAATACTGGCTATTATATAGTCAATATTATCATAATAACATATATTAGTATTGAATATTATGTTCAATAGTCCTACATTATTATATTACTATGAACATATATATTAATTCAATATTATATATTCAATGGAGTGAAGTGGATCATGTGATTAGGATGCTGGGTTGGAAGTTAGCAAGCCCGCATTCAAGACCAGACTACTGCTGCTGCTGTGTGGTGGGATGAGCTCTCATCATTTGCTCCAGCAACATGATGGGCACATGATAGGAGTTCCCATAAGCATCCCATGGGCAACAGTGATGCCGCTGGCTAATCCCTTCAACCCAGAAGTGTCTTAAATGGTGTCTCCAATACAAAGGGATGGGATATATTCAAGGTAATTTATTCATCCATAAAAAGAAATCACAAAACGTACACAAATGCAAACTCCAGCATTAAGTAGTAGTTTTGGAAGCACTATAACTAGAGTAATTTATGTGATTGCCAGGAGTAAAACATGACTTGATGGCCCATAATCAATCAATATAATCACCACACTGGTTATATTTTTTCTACATGTACCTAAGCAGCTGTTTATCAGTGTAGATGAGGTACACACTATTTATACTTAAGTTTCTGCATTTATTAACCATTTTATAAATCCTAATAAAATCATATCTCCCCTGCAAAATATTAGAATAATAATTCTATTATTTTTTATTATTTTATTTTTTCCTTCTACACCACCTTACAGTCATTATATCAACATTATTATGTCATCATAGCTGTACATGTAAATATTATTTCACTTCTATGTTTATAAACCTTTATACACAGTTCTCTATCTATCTATCATCTATCTATCTATCATCTATCTATCTATCATCTATCTNTTGTATCAGTTTTCAAATTAAATTATTATATATTCATAACATCTTAAATGTATTACAATTATCCCTTTTATTTTATTTTGCAAAATTAGATATGGCGCAGGCATACCAGCAGTTGCCTGTAGATGGCGCCATGGCGGAAGCCCAAACCATCATGATGCACAGGGGTGCATTCAAATGCATCCGCCTTCAATTCGGCATTAGTATCGCCCCTGGGCTGTTCCAAAGGGTCATGGAACTGCTTTTGCAGGGGATTCCAGGAGTCATCCCCTATTTTGACGACCTATTGGTATCGGCTGCAAATAAGGTGCAATTATTTAAAAGATTGGGAACTGTTCTGGCCAGAATCAGTGACAAAGGCCTCCGTCTCAAAAAAGAAAAATGCCAAATTAACGTGCCAAGGGTTGAATTCCTAGGGTACCTCATTGACGGCTCTGGGATTCACCTGACCAACAAAACAATTAAGGCAATCCAGGATGCCCCTACACCTCACAATCAGACCGAACTGCAGGCGTTCCTTAGGCTCCTTAACTTTTACAGTGTCTTTCTCAAACAAAAAGCCACAGTTGCTGAGCCAGGAGTCCAGACCAGCTGCCCTATAGGCGCTCGCTAAGGAGTGGGAGCGACCTCAAGCACCATCGTCTAGGGAGCACCTAGATTTTGCTGGCCCAGTTCATGGCCAGACCTTTATGGTAGTTGTGGACACGTACTTGAAATGGCTAGAAGTAGTTCTCATGACCTCTACCAAGGGACTACGGAGACTTTTCTCCACTCACGGCCTGCCTGATGTCTTGGTCTCTGACAACGGACCCCAATTTACGGCCATGCAATTCGAGACCTATTTAGCAGCACAGGGAATCAGACATGCCCTGGTCGCCCCATTCCATCCAGCTTCCAATGGTCAGGCGGAGAGAATGGTGAGATCTGCAAAAGAAGCCCTATCCAGGATGGGCCCGGGAGATTGGCAAACACGGGTTGATCAATTCCTCCTCATACAGCACATCATGCCAAGTGCTATTACTGGTAGCCCTTCCGAGCTAATGGGTCGCCAGCTAAGGTCCCACTTAGACCGGCTATACCCAAACTACTCTGCCGTGTCGCCCACAGATTTGACTGGCAAAATAAGAAATGTTAGTGTAGGGGATCAAGTTTATGCCCACAACTACGCTGGGGAAACTCTTTGGATTCCTGCCACAGTAATAAGCATCACCGGACCTCGCTCTTACTTATTAGAGTTCAAGGATGGTCGAAATTGGAGACGGCACATTGACCAACTCCGTGGCCGCATTTCCAACTCCAGTCTTAGGCAACCAGAGGTAACTCCTGCACGAGTTAGCCAAAGCCCTACCCAAAAGGAACACGAATTCACTCCTTCCACAGATAACTCAATTCCGAAGGTACTGGGGCACTTATCTGAAATTGTTGCAGGCTCGCAGCGAGTCCCGAGCGAACCGGCTCCAGAAACTTCAGCTGTGGCCTGTGAGAAGTTCCAGGAGCTTTCACCAGGTAAAGCTGTGCAGACAACAGGTTCATCCGACCTGACTGAAGAATACCCACCAACTGAACTGCGCAGGTTTGGGCGAGCCACCAGAAAACCCGCCTACCTGCGTGACTACGTCACAAGTCGGTTGATCCCATCTAAGATGGGAGGGGTGTTAGATATCAGAAACAGTACTAATGGTTTTCACCAAGGTCCTCTGTTCCGGCGGGAACAGAGATTTAATCTGATTGGTCGAGAGTCTGACAGCTCCCTATAAAAGGGCTGCTGACAGACTGAACCTTCGCTGGATTGTACATAGTTGACTTGTACTAATAAAGAGCTGCTCGTTATGCTGAAGCCTGAGTATGCCTTCATTCACCCAATCTAACAATACTCACCCCTGCAAATCGGGTGAAATGCTACTGGTTCAGGCGAACCAGTATTTCCGATGATCAGCTGTGATGTGTGATTTATATTAGCTAGAATCATCAGATTTCCTGCTTTCTAGCTAATTAAATCATGTGGTACAGGGGATTTCCCCTCCCCAATGTTCTACTTACTTTAGCAGACTCTGAAGACTTCAAAATGTTCCTTTTTAGCGCTGCGTGGGTGCGCCTCAGACAGTAGTAAATTCACCGAACCGGTAGCAGACTTCAGAGGATTTTATCGCTGCTACAAATATACAGTAATCTTGTGAAACCATGGTCTGTTTAGGGAGGAAGAGAAACACTGACCAAATTAGATGTATGTTTCTTACATATTCTTTCTTTGAGGAAAACCAACCAAACCTGCATAATTTTATAGATATGAAATTGTACTTCTAGACTATTGTGTATTTCGAAATTATTCTTAAGGGAATAGGGTAACTCAAAATACACCAATTGGCAATAACGTTAGAAGGATCAATTTAAACTTATCAAGCCATATGCAAATTTCTGAACTCTTCAGATTTCAGGAGATCCATCATTTCAAAAGAGGGAAAAGCTGTCCAATTATGTAGATGAAGCAGTTGCTCCTACATAAGTAATTTCTGAGTGTTTCTCCCTCTCTGCATGACATCTTAGAGACAGGATGGGGGGGGGGGGGCAAGCTAAAAGGGCAACAGCTGCTTATACATTCTTTCTCTTGCTCAACCTGTGTGTGGGTTATTCATTGTTACGAATCACCTACTAC